CAATGTTTTATGGCGTCTTCCTACCTCGATGATGTTTGATTTCTCCAAACCTCTGGAATAATGATGAAGGATTGCACCTCTGCGTTGTTTGGGGTGTTTTTCGGCCAATGTTCTTCCCGTGCTTATTAGATCTTGTTGCTACCAACGAGCAGTTATTACATATTCAAAGTATTGGATGACGTGGGCGTTTGTAGGCCCATTTTCTTTAAAAAAGTGAAATTGATAGATGCAAAACTTTTGCCTCCATTTCAACAATGAAACTGAACTTGGGTCTGTAAGTAGAATTCAGCAAGATACAAATCATTCCACATGGTTTTGGTGGAAGTTGGGTCTATAAGTCAATTTTATCAAGATACAAAACCATTCCACATGATTCTGATGGGTAGTCAGATATACTCGTAGACACCAATAAAGGCGTCGGGAAAATACGACAAGGAAGCGTCAGACAGTATCATTATTGTTCCACGCTTTGCCATTCTTCACATGTACCGAGGGCATCTCCAACCGCCCGCCTAACTTGTAACCCCTCGGATGTTCTTCCAAACCTTGACTCCTAAAAAATAAGGAGTTAATAGAGTAGCCAAACCTAATTGAACCCCTATATTATACTCTCTTAAACCTTAACTCTTCAAAAAAAATAAAAAAGTTAATAAAGTGGCTAGACCTAATCAAACCCTATATTTAACTCCCTAATTTCTGTGGACTAATTCTTCTATCCTTTGTGACATACATTTCAAACAATTGTAGATATTCCATCAATCATTTAAATGAGTATGCACCATATGCAACAATTCAACTACAAATATACACATAGTTTATCTAGTCAAACAATTCAAATTAAAACATGCTTATACTTCATCCAGAAGTCACCAAATTAATAAAGTTTATCCAAAAATACACATAGCATCTCTTATGTCGTGGAACTTTTGCTGCAAAGTTCATACTACACGGACTCAAGCACTCCCATGCTCATATCATCGCCTGTGGAGAAGACGCCAGAGCAGAGGGCTTGTTCCTTTTCTTTGTTGTGGCCTCGTCGAGAGCCTTGCCCGCTGTCGTCGTCTCCTTCATCCGCTTCCTTGTGCCCCGAGCAACCAGAGGGTGGGCGATCGTGTTCGCGGACGACACGACCTTGCCTTCAGCTTTCATGCATAGCGGCTCCATTCCCTTCAAAATCATGGCCTCCGGTGGCCGCGACAGTGACACTGTGCGATGAAGGAAGGAAAAGGAAGCACCACGTGTGGGAGTTGAGAGCATGAATTTTTAGCTGAGAAATGTGGTCGACTGCTCAAAAGTGAGAGACCGTGAGAAGTTTCTGGGCTTAAATGCTCAAACTTCTGGGAAGTTAACCGTTTGAGAGTTTGGCTAGGTACGGCTTAACTCGTGAAAACGAAATCTTTTGACGAGTTATCCCTTTTTTTAGTGTTCGGTTAGAGATGCCCTGAGAGACTATACAAGGGAGGGAGCAACTGAGCGAAAACCCTATTTGACGCATATTGCGTCAAGTAGTCGGGGCTTCCCACATGGGTGCCCACAACTGGGCTGACCTATTATGTTTTTTCTCTTTCTATTTATTTTTACTTTTATCCTATTTCCTTTCTCAATTTTATTTTTAAAAATATTTATATTTTTTAAAAAAATTGCATTTCTAAGAATTTGTTCAATAATTCAAAAATTGTTGCTGATTTTAAATTTTGTTGAGAAATTCGGGAAAAGTTTAGAATTTTGATATTTTTGTTTTTTAGAAAAGTTAATTTAGATGTTTAGAATTTCAAAATTCTATAAAAGTTTCATATTTTTTGAAATTTCTTGACAAATCCAAATTGTTTGTGAATTTCAACAAATGTTCCTGTTTTAAAATTTTGAAGAATTATTTTCTTTCTCAAAAATTGTTCGCATTTTCAAATTTAGTTCCGTAGTTTAAAAAATGTTTCCATTTTCAAAACAATGTTTACATATTTCAAAAATGTTACTGTCTTAGATGTTGATGTTTTCAAAATTTGTCCAGAATTTCAAAAATGGTGCATAGATTCAAAAAATGTAGTGTTTTCTTTTTTAAAATTGTTCACGGATTTGTAAAGTGTTCGCGTTTCTAAAATATTCACTTCTTAAAAAAAATGTTTGCGTTCAAAATTTTAAAGGATGGTCGGATCTGCCGCTGGCTTTAGTTCTTACATTTTCGCGCTGGTTTAATCTCAGTAATGGTCATTAGCTCCCGTGGCTAGCAACACGAGGTCTTGTGATCGAACACGCAAAATGCGTCAAATAAGAGATGCCGCGGTAGATAGCGTTGCCCCTGAGTTTCTGACCTTGTTGAATGTATGCGCTGCTCATTGCCTGCCAGAGCGGGAGCACGGCACAAGCTATGCTCATCCGAGCATCTGCACGAGCGTCCAAATTAATCAGACGACCCATAGCTGACCAACCAGGCAAGGCAACCAACCGAGCAGGTGCCCCGCATGCACGCATAGCTAGTGGTTCATCCACACTAGTGCAGAACCGGGCAATAGCACCGGTTCGTAAGGCCCTTTAGTGCCGATTCCACAACCGGCACTAAAGTGTGGGCACTAAAGCCCCCCCTCCCTTAGTACCGGTTTAGCATGAACCGGTGCTAAAGGGAAACCACGTGGCACGAGCCAGCTCCAGGGATACTAAAGGGAAACCACGTGGCACGAACCGGTGCTAAAGGGAAACCGGTACTATAAGGTTTGGGAGGTTTTAGTTTTATGATTTCTTTTTCATTTAATTTTGTGTTTCCATTTTAATTCTTTTTCGTTTGCTGGTATTTTACGATACTACACATTG